GTTGCATTCATGGGTGGCTGGCTCCAGGCTGTCGGTTGCGCATGGTCTACTACCATGGCTGCGCGTCCTCCGCAGCTTGCCACTGCATCACCTCGTCCGTGAACGAGAGCAACATGCGGTACTCAGTCCGCTCTCGGCGTTGCCGGCGCACTCGCATGGGCCTTCGCTGGTCGACACTCTGCAGTCGACTCCACGCCGTACGAGGCGGGGACAAGGCCACGAAATCTGGATCAACTGCAACCAGGTACGCCCGTGCCTCGTTCCTGCCCTGGACCGTCAGGAGGTCGAACGCTGGCGCCGCGATGGGCTGGTGGGCGCCCCATCCCATGTTCGCCGCCAGGGTCGTGAGTTGACAGGCCCATGCGAAGACTTCCACGATCCCCCAGGGCCCCGGTCGCCGCCGGGTCTCCCGCTGAAGAGGTAGTACACGTTCCTCCTGGTAGTGCTTGAAGGCGTCCTGCTCCTGCCGATCAGCCCGAAGCTTCCTGTTCGCGATTTCCTCGATCATCAAAACCTCCAGCTCCTTCAGGTTGCTCCGGACGTGCCTGCGAGCACCTTTCGTCATGAAAGCCTCGTTGTCCGCGTTCTCCATGCAAACCTCCTCGTCGCTCGATGCCGTCTCCGCGGACTCCGGGTCGCTGGTGTGATAGTGGGATGTACTCAGCTCTGAATCGCCCGCGCCCTGGCCATCGTTGCTGTCAGAGTCGTGCGTGCCGTCCTCCTCGGCGGTCTCAGCGACGCTGCACTCATCCTTCTCCTCGTGGCTCGCAGTTCCGCTGAAAATATCGTCGGCGAGCTCGTCCTGCCCCACTGTTCGACGGGGAAAGCACTCGCGACCGGTGCCGGGAAATCCAGCAGTGACACGCGCGGATGCCCGGACGCAGCCGGGACCAACGGCTTGGTCACACCGTTCGCCGTGAAGGTACCGTTCCTGGAGCTGAATGCTGCGTCCCACTCTGCCATCTCGTCAGGGCCGATGAGACCGGGCACCTCGGCATCGACCTCTGAGATCACAACCTCGCACTGCGTACCATTGATGCCAACTGTGTAGCAACACGCACGCTCCGACATGAGCGGCACGCCTGGGCCGAACTTGAAGTACTCGCGCTGGTTGATGCTGTGGTACGGCACGCCCGTGGCATCCAAAGTCTTCTGCAGCTCGACGTGCCACGGACGTCCACCGACAGCCCGCTTGCAGCCCGTGTCAATCATAACCAGCCCCGCGGGCAAGACAACAAGCATGACGGACTGCTCATCTATCACCTCGCGGGGGCACTCCTCTCGGGTAGTGACCATGCGGGTTGCAGATCCCCCTTTTGCTGCCCAAGGGTCCGCCCCCTTTGCTGCCCAGGGGTCCGCGCCCTTTGCTGCCCCAGGGTCCGCGCGCTGCAGTGAGTCCTCCTCGTCCGCCTTGGGCTTCTCCAGCGTGTAATGGATCACCGACTTCAACGAACACTTCTTGCACTTCGCGAAGATCACGGTGCCGTTTGACTGCCACTTCTGCTCGTCAGCCGGATGAGAACACGCAGCCTGCTGCTGCATGAGCTCTGGGTCAAACTTCGCCTTCGGACCTGGGACTAGCCTCTCACCGTCGAACTGCGAGTCGTACATGGCTCGGTGCAGCTGCTGCTTCTCCAGGTCGCTCTGCGTGGCGCCGGCACTCATGACGTAGCTCCGTCCAGAGGCAGTGACTACGCGCGGGGCTCCAGATGCGGCTGGAGATGCCGTCGCAGCGGCAGGCGCACCTGAGCTCGCGGCTCCTGGAGGCGCTGGAAGATGAGCACGTCGTCGAACTCCCTCCATGTTCTTCCGCGCGCTTCCGACCCCCTGCTGCTCAGGAGATGTAGGCAGCGCGCGCTCTAGCGGGGGTGCCTGCTCGCGTCGCCTCTGCAGGCCGTCATAGACCTCGCCTGGGTTCAACCGGGTATGCATCTCCAACTCCTGCTTTTCTATCAGCGCGAGGCGGTCCAGCAGCTCGGCTTTGTCACGCTGCAAGACCTCCAGTCGTTTCTTCTCCTCGCTCTTCCTCGCGTCCTCGGAGGCCCCTGCCATGACCCAGTCCTCGCCCTTCGGAGCGGCGGCGGCGGCTTCCCCAGTCTGAGCGGCGGACGGTAGTCCTGGCGCAGCTCCGTCTGGGATGTTCCCGGAAGGCTCTCCCGGAACATTTGATCCTTTCGTCTTCGATGCCCCTTTCGCCGACGGCGCCGCTGCGGCGTCCACCACGAATACTGGATGGGCCTTCGCAGGGGGGAAATCCGGCTTCTCGCAGCGGCGCGTGTAGAGGTTGAGGCGCACGATGCGGTCGTTCTTCGTGATGAAGTGGATGGTCGCCGGCGGCGCCAGGTAATCCCTAAAGATGTCCTGGCGCGGATGCCCGCTGCAGATGATCTCGCCCATCTCCTCCGGCGTGAACGGCAGCTCCTTATCCTCGCGCCGCTGATCGTTATCGCCCTCGCTGGCCTCATCCTCCTCGCTGGCCTCATCCTCCTTCTTCACCTCGGCCTCCTTCTTCACTTCCCTGCTGCTCCTCGCCTTCTTCCTCTCTTTCTTCTCTTCCTTGCTGCTCCTCGCCTTCTTCTTCTCTTTCTTCTCTTCCTTCTCGCCGCGGCCTTCCGGCGCACTCCGCGACCTCGAACACGATGAGGCCCCCACCTCGGGCGGAGGAGGGGCGCGAGGCTCACGGAGAACAGCTCCCCGATCGCGGTGGCGGTCGTCACGGCGATCTCGATGCTGATCGCCGCGATGCTTGGTGTCACGGCCTCCGCCTTCACCGCGCCGATCGTCGCGGTGCTTGGTGTCGCGATTTCCGCCCATCACGATCTTAAACATAGTCGCCGCGATCTCATCGAGATCCACCTCAGCCGCCGTGCAAGGCTTCGACGTGGCAAGCTGCAGCCGCATAAGCCGACCCTGGACGAAGTCGATGGCCTCGAAGCGGCCTTGCTTGAAGAAGATGGGCTTCTTGTTCGTCACACGCTCCACGATGTGATGGGCCGTCGCAAGGTCAGGAAACTCCAACTCCACGCTGTGCCCCTTTGCGTGCGTATTGGCCAGGATGCGATGGCAACGCGCACATGCATCCTCGTCCTCCTGATCCCCACCGCGCCTTGCAAGGGCGCGCGCACGTTCATCACTGCCCTGTTCTGGGCCATCGTCGGTCTTCTGGTATAAACGTGGCGCAGGCATACTCTTGGGTCGAGGGTTCCCGGCCGAACTCCCCGGAGCATCGGCTCGAACCCCTCCCGAATGCCTCCGGGCAGGCACCGACAGGGGAGCGCGGCGCCACGGCACGCGGCCACGACGCTCTTCGGCACTGCCAGCCATGCCAACCCAGTGGATGGCCGGCCCATGCACCTGCCTTGGCACCGGCGGCTTCGCAGAGCTCCGCTGGTTGGGCGACGCTGGCTGGCCACTCTTAGGCCCGGTCTTGTTGTGCGGCTCGCGCTCGCCACTCTTTACCGTGGGGCACTCCGGGTCGCCACGCCAGTGGCCGGACTGATCACAGTCAGCACACCGGCTGTTGGCTTTGCGCTGGTCAGTCGTCCTGCGACCCGCCTGGAAGGAGCCGCTGACGTTGATCTTCTTGGGGTCCCGCTGCCGAGGGGCAACGAATCCGCGCTTCTGACGCTGCGCTGCCGTCTTCTGCTTGGCCCTCCAACCGGCCAAGAACGCCTCCTGAAGATCCTCCGGTGCCTCGTACTCCTCGTCGTCAGGCCCGTCGTTGTCCGACGCCAGCTCCTCGTCGACCTCGGCGCCGTCCTCGAAGGGAATCCCATCGCCCCCTCCGGGGTCTCCGTCATCCTGGTCGTCTGCTTCCTCCTCGTCGTGCTGCGCCTCCTCCAGGTCGCCGTCGCGTTCATCGTAGTCGTCACCGTTCTCCACCTCGTGCACGTGCTGGCCAGGGCGGCCTCGAGGTACGAATGGCCTGCGAGCCAGGGGAGGGTGCGGGAAGCGACCGCCCGAGCTCCCGGAGGAGCCCCCGTGCTCACGCTGCGCCGCCACAAACGGCGAGCGGCGAGGAAGCACCGAGCGCTTCTCGGTGTCGTGCACCTTCGAGTAGGCTGCCTTCAGCACGACCTCCATGCGCTTCGAGTCGTAGACGCCGCCGCATAGGAAGAGCACCTGCGCTCGCTCTCTTTGCGACAGCCCAGCACCACGGAGCATCTTGCTCGCCAGCGCGCGAGAGCTGATCGCTGAGGTGGGATCCTCGAGCTGCAACTCCATGCGCTTCTTCCGCAAGAACGTCGTCCAGTCCATGATGGGCTGCCCTGCCCGACGGTGAGCACGCTCCCACTCCTGATGCACCTGATCCAGGCGCTCGTGATCCATCTTCTCGAAGGCGTCATCGTAGATAGCAAAGATGGTCTCGAGCGTGTCCTCGCGCCGGAGGTCCGACGCGTCCAGTACCTCCATGAGCTCCTTGGCCCGACCTGTCACCTGACTGTAGATGATCAGGCCCAGCTCCACGTCAGAGAGCTGGTTGAGATTGCGGATGACCTCCACGGCCTTGCGCCACTCTCGGTACTTCTTGGTGCTGGTGCCGACGGCACCGTCGAAGTCCGGGAGCTTCACCTGTGACAGCTGTAGGCGCGCACGCCTGGGACCGCTGTTGCCACCACGATCCCGCTGCAAGGCCAGGATATCCCTCCGGGTCTCGGCCATCACACGCAGTACCGCGTACAGGTCCAGAGAACCTGCGCCGGCGGAGGACGCCGCCTCCGCGTCCGAGCCGTCCTGGCTGCCAGCCATGGCGGCGTGCGCGGGTGGTCGCAGCCACCCGAGCAGAGCACGCAGTGCGCCCGCTGGAGCTTACAAGCTCCGCTACCAATGTCAGTGCAGTTCTTTTTGCTCGGACCGCGCGGCGGTCAAACTGCGGGTGCAGTCCCAGGGCCCTAGGACTAGGGCCAAAACGGCGGCGGGCAGCGTGCACGCCACAAACATGAAAAATATGTGCATCATGCTTACAAGGCGGCACGGGCGGCAGAGGGGCAGGGGAGTGCCCTCTTCACACTTTTGACCCTCGAGCTCCGCAACAAGCCCGGCGGGATCAGCCGGCCGGGGTCGCTCGGGGCCGTGGCGGCGCCCGGGCCGAAGTCGGTGAGCACCACGCTGCGGGCCACGCCGGCCAGCGCGACGCCAAGGAGACCGCAGCCCGAGCCCAGCTCGAGCACTCGGCGCCCCTCGAAGAGCTCGGCGCCGCCCGCCGCCAGGGGCCCGTCGAGCGCGCGCGCCGCGGCCCACGTGGCCATCCACGCTGGAAGAGCAGAAGACTGCACGAGCAGAGCCAGACCTCCCACATGTTGACAAGAACATGCCGCTGGTTGGTATCTTTTGGGGGGCCTCTGGGGGACAACTCGGGGTGAAAGCCTGGCCCCGGGGAACGGGTCGGGACTCACCGCGCATGGAATGACTCAAAACATCGGGTGTCTGGGTACGGTCGGGAACGTTTGTCCAGCGTGTCGCGCGGCCGACTCAGGCCCGCCACGCTTCGGCGCGACACGCCAACCAATGACCTGGCCCCCAACCGTCCGCGTCCTGGGCCATTCCCAGCGTCACGCTCCACGAAGCAGATCGACACGCTGTCAGCTTGCAGGGCAGAGCGTGCCGCTGGGGCCGCCGCCGCAACAGGCTACGAAAACACATCCTGACCATACGTAACCTTTCAGGGCGTCCGCGCGGATTCTTCGGTCTGCGCTGCCCCCAGCGCCAGAGGCGGCAGGTGCTCTTCGCGCGCCAGGAGATGGGGGCGGCCCGCAACCTGAGAATTCCGCGTGCGCCTCCGAAGTTTGCGCGTGTGCCGTGTCATGCTCTTCGGGATATCCCGCCATCCCAAAGGTGGCCGCCGAGCTTGCCCTTCGAAGGCAGGCTTTGCACAAGGGGGGGGTCCGAGGGTCATGAGGAACGGGGTGGGCAAGATGGTCACTCTCAGGACCTCTCGCTGCTTGCCTCACGCGGGCCCACAACCGCATCACCCCCGAAGAGGGTCATGGGCGGAGGAGGAGTAGGAGGAGGAGGAGGAGGAGGAAAAGGGGAGGAGGAGGAGGAGGAGGAGGAGGAGGAGGCGGAGGCGGAGGCGGAGGAGGAGGAAGAGGAGGAGGAGAAAACACGATGAGCATCGGGGGAAAAACAAGTCGGTAGCAAAGGGGAGCCTGGGACGTCATATACAGGCACCTGGCGTCTCAGGCACCTCCGAGACACCAGGCGCGAGCGCGTAGTCCCACCAGCCCTCGGAGCGTGAGTGGTCTGATGAGCTCGTTCTGCTACCCGCTACCCCCTTATTCCCCTTCGGGGAGGGGGCTCCCGCTCCCCCTACCCCCTCCAACCTGGGTCTGGAGGGGGCGCTCCGAAAGGGTGTGGAGCGTCCAAGATGGCCCAGCTTGAAGAGCGCCCCAGAGAGCTCAAGATGGCTTCCAAGATCGCTCACGATAACCCAAGACGGTTCAAGATATCTTCCAACGTGCCTCCAAGAGCCTTCAAGACCGCCCCAGGACCTCCGAGCCTCCCAAGAAGGCCCCCCCACAGCCTAAATCCTGACAACACCTAAAGATTCTCGCTAGATCGCTTCCGATGGGCTCTTGAGGTCTGTAGATGGCTCCAAGTTGGCCGACGAGGATTCAAGAGGGGCCCAAGACGGCCCCAACAGCGCCCAAGGCCGCCCCAAGAGCGCCCCAAGAGGGACGCACCCGCTTGTGTCCGATGGTTTCCAAGATGGCCCCACGAGGGCCCCCAAGTCTCCAAGAAAAATCCAAAAGACCCCAAGAGGGCCTGAAGAGGGGCCCAGACTAGAAGACTTCCAAGACCGTTCCAAAACGCATCAAAGGCTTCAAAATGGCCTCGAGAGGGCCCACCTTGAAACAGCAGCAAGATGCCTGTGTCTGAGCTGCTGCGGGCCCGAAGGCCATGAGGAAAAACCGTCGAAGTGAGCGGGGGCCAGAGCGCCTGCCGCAGGCAGTGTAAGGGGCAAGCGTCGGTGCCTGCTTGAACTCGAGAGGCTGTAAAGACCGGATTGGGGCGAAACGCCAGGGAGGAACCCGACGACGGACAGGACCCCCCGCGACAAAGCCGCATCACCTGCGCGAGCCGCCCCAGCGAACCCAAGCCAGGAACAGCACCGGCGGGGATCCGAACACCATATTCCGAGGTACCCCCCCAAGGAAGCCAGCAATCAGGTGTCGGCAGATCGACCTCGACCAGCGCCAGAAGCCTCAAGACGGCCGCATGCTGCTATACATCCCTGATCAGGGCAACTCGCTCGTTCACCGTTTTGGAATGGGCTGGTGGGGGTAGCGTCAAGAATTATCGAGAAGAGTTGCCTGGCGATGGGGTCGGAAACCGCTGCATGCTACCTTCGGCAGATGTCGTGTACATCCCCCTGTCCCACCGACCCTTTCGAACCTCCCGAGAGAAGGTGGAGGAAGAGGAAGGAGGAGTGGAAGAAGGGAAGAGGAGAGGAATCGGAGAAGCAAACAAGAACAGCAATGCAGCCGGAGAGGAAGAGGAGAAGGAGGGAGGAGGAAGAGGAAGGGGAGCCTATCCCTCCAGGCCCGCCGCCCCGACTTCCAGCCAGGTGACCTCAGAGAAGTCCAACTCGCGGACTGTCCACCTCGCCGCCTCGCACGGGGACCGAAACATGTGCACGACGCTCCTGGCCAAGCCAGGAGGCCACCACATCCACCACGCACTGGGAAAAATGGATACCATGTGGAGGCCGGATGCTGTCCTGATCCTCCCCCTCCTCACCCCTCCACCGTATTCTTCCCTCCCCTCGTCTTTCCTGGGAGAGGGAGGAGGAGAGATGTCCTGGTGGAAGTGTGTGTGTGTGCACATGTGAAAAAAGTTGCGGGCTTCCTGTCGGCACGAAGCCCGCCCTAGTTCCACTTGGCCCGCTGACTGCATGCGTCTGCGGTCCAGAGGAAAACGTATGTGCGTGGGTGCGCATGAGGAAATCAAAAGGTACCCATATCACATACCGCCACTCCCTAGACCTCTCATGGGGTGCGTTCTGACAAGAATTTCGAGGCGAGTCCAACGGTGGTGACGAGGGCCTCCCAGGAGGCCACGAAAAGAGGAAAACGAGGCAGGGGCAGCGGTGTCGGTACCTTTTCCTCCTCTGAGTGCATGTTTGGACCCATGGCCTCGCAACGCTCCCCTGACGCCCCAGCGCGCCCAGCGCAGCGGAACGCCCGGAGACTCGTCTCGCCGGTGCCCACCTCGCACGTGCACAACGCCTCCCCCCTCTCGCCCTCCTTCGGGTGCTGCTAGAAGTGCCCCTGGCACAAGGTGCCCCCAGGATTTCCGAGGAGGCCCCCACGGCCTCCAGAGAACCCTTCACAAGGCCCAGAGGGCCCCAAGCTCCCCAAAATAGAGCGACGAGCTGGGAGCACTTTGGGCCAGGGGTAATGAACATGTAGCAACCCCCGACTTTTGCTGGCCAGCCGAAAAAGCTTGGAAAGGATGATCCAGATCAGAGGAGAGATGAACCATTGTAATCACCTTACCTCTCTCCACCAGACATTGGGCGGAAGGGGTTGGCGGCGCGCAGTAAGGGGGTGGAGGGAGGGGGGAGGGCTTCTTTGAATGAGGCTACTTCTTAGAAGGCACCAACCTTGCATCTATGGAGAAGGCCCGCACCTTCTAAGAAGCAGAGATGCTTCCAAAAATCCATCCCCCTTCCCCCCAAAACCCCCCGACATCACGATTTTGGCATGGCGTCGACCCTTGGAAATTACGACCCATGAGCCGGGACCAGGTTTTCATCCCGAGTCGTTTTCTGACGGCCCCGAGGCTCGGGAAAGAGCCCCAGAGGTGAAATTTACGAAAAACATGCCGTCGTGATTTATTCCGAACCATCCTGTGGTATTGGGTCCTCGTTTTGAAGAGACAGCGCCCCGCGTCACCTCCTCACTCCTCCTCCCTCTCCTTCCTCCTCCCATCCGTGCCTCTGCCCTCCGCATGTCTGCGCTTCGTGGCCCCGTGGGGAGCTCCACCGAAGGCCCAAGCGGCAGGGTCCACATGGCGGCGCCGCCCCATTTTGGCACACCCCTCACACGGTTCGTGGCCCCATAGGGAGCTCCACCGAAGGCCCAAGTAGCAGGGTCCACATGGTGGCGCAGCACCACTTTGGCGCACCTCTCACACGGTTCGTGGCCCCATAGGGAGCTCCACCGAAGGCCCAAGTAGCAGGGTCCACATGGTGGCGCAGCACCACTTTGGCGCACCTCTCACCCAGTTCGTGGCCCCATGGGTAGCTCCACCGAAAGCGGCGCCAGAAAACAGTATGCAAAACTGCACATGGTTGGGTCCCTCGCCAGAATAACTCAAAACTGGAGCGGGTCTGGGGACTCTGGGTGAAGGGGGGAGGGGCCTAGGACTCCTCCGCCGCCCGCAAGACTTCGAACGGGCCGATCCTGGCGGAGGCAGAAGAAGCAGACCGGAGGCTCCCCGCCAGCCAGGTCCCTCAGCGTGCCCTCTGAGGGCAGCCAGTCCTGGGAGGGGGGGGCCAATGAGCTCGTCCAGGGCCGGCAATCCCCCCCCCAAAGGCCTGGCGGTTCGCACCAGGGTGTACTTTCGATGTGTTTGATTGGGCTGGAAGCCTCTCCGCGGGTCCGCCAGGTTCGGGCTCAGGGCGATATCGTGAGGGGACAAGGGACAAGAGCCAGGCCTTCCCACGCAGTGGTAGCGATAATGCAAGGGGGGAAGGGGGTTCGCGGGGGGAGGGGGATGGTGGAGGTAAAAGCGACCAACACTGTCCCCAGATCGACTCGGCGCGTGTGAGAGGGCGCGCCCAGCAACTTGGCAACCGTGATGTTCTAGTCGCCAGTGCTCAGCGCGCGGAATAGCGCAGTTTGGGTTGGAGGACAAGGGGGCATTTTGCAGGAGGAGTCACAACCGACCGAAATCCGCCCCCAGGCCGTCTAGAACGAGTTCGGAGGCCCACCCCGACGCCCAATCCCATGGTAAGATGGATCAGCGCTGGTCTTTCGAACTGGATCTGGTGGGCCATGCGGTGGGGGTGGATGGGACGGACGCAGGACATGTACAGATGACACGGCGGGTCCATTTCATGCATTGGGCGCCGAGGATGCCGTTGCAGAGCGATCTGTGACTGTTAAAGGGATCCTGGGCCAGGTGCTTTCGAAGGTCCGCACGGATTTCTTGGACCTGCGCTGTGCCTCCCTCCCGGGCGCGCGGAGCGCGCCAGGGCCGGCGCCAGCACCGCCAGGGGGGCCAAGCGCCGATCCAAGAATTC